GATCGCGGCAAACACGCGAAATACGCGCGTGTCCGCCCGTAGGACCACGGCGTCCAGAGAGAACCAAAGAGGCTCGACTTTTTCCAGTGAGCCGTTTTCTGCCATGACAGGAGGGAACAAAAGGAGATTTGAAATTTGGAAACCGATGATTGCAACGGATGCCGAATGATGGCCGACGATGAACCTGACAATTTTATTGCGCTCGTTCTCTTGCAGTGCACTTATCAAACCAGGACGCTCCGTAAATTTCATTGTCATTTTTTCTTTTGTTTTAGTTGAGGTCTCCACGTGTTCAACGACTGATATTCAACAAGATCAAAACATCAACAACGCGTACACACTTCTGACCACAACCACCACCATGCCTACGCCAACGCCAATTCCACGCCCTGACTGGGCGCCCTCGAGAATATCTGGGACCAATGCGCGAGACATGGCCGATGTCATGTCTTGGAAGCAGGAGGACTTCGTCAAATTAAAGGTCTGTCCAACGCCGATGCCAGATGGTCTTCGGGGTTCTGATATCGAGATTCACAGGAGCATGTCCAGGCCAAGGCAGCTGCACTTCAGCTCGACACGTATGCAGGGCCGCCGGCGCAGGATCCCGCCAAGTGGAGAGAGCTCGTCGCAGATGTATGTTCCACGCGTCGAGCTCGCGAACTCGCTGACTGTCAGCTCTTCTGTAGTGCGTCAAGGCGTTTCCGGCTCTGAAAGATTTCGCGCGTCGCTGGCCCGTCGAGTTTTACTACACGCAATATACTCACTGGCGGCGACTGGAACGCAACAAACGTCTCCGATCGCAGAATGCCCAACAGCCTGCGCCCACGAAGGGTCCCGATTCCAGCGCGCAACGCCCCGGAAAGCGCAAGGGGGGACCGGACGCCGGGAAGGAAAATGTGGACGAACCACGGGTGCGTCGTGAATGAAGATCGCGCAGATCTGGTACTCACCGCGATATCACGTAGATCGCACCTCGCGCCACGCAATCCGGTTCTCAGAGTAACTCGGGCGCACAGTTCCCTCGTTCGCGACCACCCACTCAGCGCGAGAAAGAAAGGTTGAACGACCGGGTGCGTTACACAGATCAGTTAAAATCCCCCACTGAATACGACCTTACCGTAGACTGAAACCAACATCGACTCGCAGCGCCAGTCCGGCGCACAGGCTGCTCACTCAGGAGCGGCTACTCAGCCCGGGAAGGGAAAGTTGAGCGAACGCGTACGTCGTGAAGATCACATCGATCTCTTGCTGAGTTCTCCCGTAGACGCCCACCAATATCCAGCAGTCCTCTTCACAGCACTCCTCGGCCTCGCAGGGGACTCCCCCGCAGCCACCCACTCGGCCTGAGAATGAGCGGGTGCGTCGTGATCGTGGTCGTTGATATCGAGCAGATCTTTCCTCAATTTGATCTCTCTCACAGATTTCAACGCACACCAAGGAGTCTGGTTCGCAGCGCTATTCGGGCTCGCAGGATGCTCCCTCGACGTCATTTACTCAATCGGATGGGAAGCTACTGGCCACCAGACGCAACGAATTCTCTTCAACGACGCGTCGTGAATACGTACGCTGACATGATACACGTCTTCATTTCTCTGGCGCTAACTTAAACGGAAGTCTTTGTCTTCGAGGCAAATGAGCGCCAATACCTCTGCACCCTCTTCCTCGCCTCGCTTCCCCGGTAGCAGCTCTGCTCCCCGTCACTCGCAGCCCACGACACACCACGCCAGCTGGAGCGCCTGTGTACTCTGCGCTTTTGAACCGTTGATTCCTCCCGAACAGACCACTGAGCTCCGGCTCTTATTCAAAGGGCGCGACGACCTGCTCCAAGCCTTTATCACGGTCGGTGTCATCGCCGATCACCACTTACGCGCCCTTCTCCGCTTGAGTGCGAGGCAGCGCGAGGGATTCCTGGATAGCATCGCCCCTAAATACCTGACCTTCGTTGAAAAGGTCGAGATCGCCGACCTGCTGGAGACGCACCTCGACAACACTGCGACTGGGCTTCGTCCCGCGAAGATTCAAGTGGTATCGATCCCACGTCCTCCGGAGGGGCTGGTGAACGTCTTGGGGCAGCACACATGCAGCTACGTTCATATCAAGAAGCATATGCGCATTGCAGACGACAACGAATACTTCGATATCGTGGTATGTTTTATCTTTCACACTCAAGTCCGTCGTTGATATTCTCCTAGGATTACATCGAGAGCGAGATTCCGCGGTTCCTCGAGGTCGAGAAACCCATTGAAGAACAGGACGATCTCGATGTCCAAGCGCTTCTTGAATCGGTGCGTGCAATTTTCTAACTTGAGGTGGCTTGTTTTGACCGGCACTACAGGTATGCGAAGCTTGGCCGTCTATGAGGAAATACGCGGACTGTTGGCCTATATTCGTGCATGTCAGCCGATTCCTGGACGCCCGGCAAGCAGGCCTGCCCGGAACTCCGCGCAACGCACCCGTAGGCGCACATTTTCTATTCGTGTTCGACTCTGGTTGATGTTTGACCTCATCGCAGCCCCCGCGCCACGAGTGCCCTCGCCAGCGCATGTACCCCGCCGCGGACGTTCCTCCGTCTGTTAAGGCGCTCCTGGCGGACTATGGTATGGACGAACTCGGGCCTGCTTTTTTGTTTCTCGGCGTTCAAACGGACGAGAAGTTCGGGAGCATGGTCGCGTCGGAGAAAGCTCGATCCCGGTTTCTTGCTGGCGTACCGCCGCTGCAGTTGGGGTGTTCGGCGTTCCAGGGCATAATGATGCGCTATATTATCGAACGAGTTTGATCTTGGAGTGCCGTGTGTACGAATTATGTGGCCTGTAGTAGTTACTGTGTATAAAATCGGTCATGCTTGCGTTTATCTTGGAGGTAATGCCCACGATCGCGTCGCGGTACCTCTCGGGGAGGCGCAGCAGCTCCTCGATGACCGGCGCGTACTGGACGAGCAGCGGCGAGTAATCGAAGAGCAGCAGCGCGTCCGCCTCGTTAGACCCTGAGCCCGTGAAGGCCCAGCCGGGCGTCGCGGTGTGCACGTGGAAGTCGCGCAGCAGCGGGAGCTTGAGCGCCGGGGGGAGCGTTATGTCCTCGATCGTGTTGAGGCCCCTGAGGACGAGGTAGAAGAGGCAGACCTGGGCCGCTCAGCGTTAGCAGTGGTTACATTTACTTGAGAGAGAGGGGACGTACGACGCGCGCGAGGTCGCCCTCGAGCTCCTTGATCACGATGGAGAAGCTGCGGCTGGTCATGTCGGGGAACTCCCAGCACCGGCGCATGCTGGCGCGGTCCCAGCCGGACGTCGCGTGCTCGCGCGGGGCGGTGATGTTGCGCTTTTGGTCGTGGTAGATGCGGTACTGCAGCAGCGTGCGGAACTCGAGCGGGTGCGCAACGAGTATCAGAAGTCAGATCGAGAGGCCCATGTTGAAGGGACTGGGTTAAAGTAAGATGAGGAGGGTTGAGGTGCGAAGGGAACGCGGATTATGCCTCGCACGACGCACCAATTTTTATGCCAGTCCGAGTTTTCCGAGTGGTACGACTTGGGTGTGACGTGATGCCGACATTCCGCATTGGGATAGGGGTGCTTCGTTCAGTAATATTTGGAGCGCGCGGTTCGGAAGCGAAACATGGAGGAGTATCGAGGAGGTGGAAAAAATAAAACAGTCAAAACTCAATTCAAACCAAATGGGATGTTCCCGGACGAACCGCGAAATAAAAGGTTGTCTGGAAGAGAACGGTCTGACCCAGAATGGGGATATTCTGGTGCAAGTTAGATGAGGACCCTGTGAAGAAGGTCCAATAGCTTTTTGATTTTGGCTGAGATTCCCTGGTCAACGCTGATCAGCCTTCATCAGGCTGATCAGGTCGGTCAGGCTGGTCAGCCCTTATAATCGGTTTCTGTTGCTTGTCAGCTGCCCCGAGTTCTGATGGTCTGATTTGACCTGATCAGCGCATGTCACTGCTGGTCAGACAATTTGGATTTTTCCGACAATATAGCCTGACCCCGAGTCGAACAGGGATCTTCCTCATAGACCTTTTGAGTCCTGTAAGTTGACACTAACCATTGTGCTACCAGATCTGCAGACCATTATCTAAGGCCTTTAACTCAACACTCAATGATATGTTCTCGGATGTGTTGAGATGGGCCGGTCACGCGTCCTATCTGTACAAACTGTTGAGATATCTTCTCCTGTGTTTATCATCCAACAGCATTCCGTTTACAGCCAGATTGTTATCTGTTGATTCTTACCTCCCATTGTTCGCCGTTTCTGATTACTTAGCTGTAGATACACGACTTGGTATGTATACGGCTCTGTAGCTTGTATTCAATCCAGTCTGGTTTCTCCCACATTTGTTCGTGTGACTGTCAACTTCCAACAGGATGAATATAGCAACAGAAGCAAGACAGGCAGAAAATTTCAGGTTCTTACACAAATACAGGAACTAATGTAGGCACACTAACCCTTATGATCAGGCCGCTCCCTCCAATAGTTAATTAGGATGCAGTAACCATTGTGCTATCAGGCCATCATCTCCCCCTCAATTCAACCTCAACAAGGTGATCTCAGCAGCAAATACACGACAATCCAAGGATTATCCAACAAAAGGATGGTTGAACAGGGATCTTCTTTAAAACTCTATGGCTAGTCATAGCAGAACGAATGAATAAAAAAACATATAAATGGTTTGACCCTGAACCGAACAGGAACCTTTCTCACTCTCTAGCGAGTGAGGATGCAGTAACAGTTGTGCTATGAGGTCGTTGATCTATCCCTACTTCTTCAGCGAAACCCTAGTCATGAAGTCGATCGCAATGAATAAAAAAAACATATGAATGGCCTGACCGGAATCGAACAGGTATCTTCCACATATACATATGATAAAACTTCTTATTCAATGAGGACGCATTATATACACCGTTTTGCTATTAGACTATTATCTCTTGCCTCAATTCAAACAAAATAGGATGTTCTCGGACGAACCCACAAGATAAAATTGAAATGTAGAGCAAAGAGTATGGCCTGACCCCGAATCGAACAGGGATTTTCTGCAGAAGGTTCCACTCTCTTACATAAAGAAATGCGGATGCACTAACCATTGTGCTATCAGGCTGTTCCCTTCTTTATCCAAATCTCTAACTACCTCGGACAACGATGAATTGAAATGGCAATCCAGAGAAACATAGGATGGCCGAATTTTGGAATCGAGCAGGGACCTTCTGCAGATTATTTTTTTCCGTAGCAATCAACAGCCGCAGACGCACTAACCCTTGTGCTCTCCTTCTCAAAGGCTTAAGCTACCCATGGGTTGAAGATGCCAGAAAAAAAAGCCAAACAAATGGATGGCCCAAGATTGTGCCATCCGCCGCCACAACCTGCTTCAAGCTAAACTCTGTAATGAATCACAAATAGCTCGGCCTGACCCAGGGATCTTGTGCTTAAATCCGTGGGACTCCTTAAGCACTACATATTTATATACACCTATATCCGAACTCGAACCCAAGGCATACCTGCGCAACACAAAATTGCCGTTCAGGAATTTTAATCAGCAGCGGGTTTAGACACAGACAGGCACACAGATTGAGAATTCGACACGACGCTGGCGGGCATTGAACCTCAACCTCGGGCGTACACGGTACATAGCACGTAATAGTGTGAAGGAGACCAAGGCAGTTGTATGTTTCGAACCTCCTGGAGAATGACAATTACCTGGAGAATGATGGCACGGCTCGACACGCAATCACTTATGCAGCACGCTCCTGGAATACTCGTGCTCATGCGTTGGTGAGACACCCAAATCTCGAACCTAGCGATGGGAGCTCACCCAGGTACGCGCGCCAGCACAATGTGGCGCAATCACCACGTCCATCCATGGAGAAGGAAGTTTCCTGGGAGGAGCATCGTTATATGTGCCACCGGAATTACACTAAGTGGACAAAATAAATGTCTGATGGGTGTTTGGGGTCATTTTTAGGCCAAATGACTCCAAATAAAATCCTAGCATGAACCAGTTGGCGACTTTTCGCCCTGGTTACGTGCACCAAATAAGGCAATTCGCGCGGTGGCAACCGGCGATGGTAGCAGCATTCTACATCGAGAGCGGTTAGGAAGCGGCGGGCGGGCGGGACGGCACAAATAGGGTGTGGGGGAGCGGTACATAGCACGTAATAGTGTGAAGGAGACCAAGGCAGTTGTATGTTTCGAACCTCCTGGAGAATGACAATTACCTGGAGAATGATGGCACGGCTCGACACGCAATCACTTATGCAGCACGCTCCTGGAATACTCGTGCTCATGCGTTGGTGAGACACCCAAATCTCGAACCTAGCGATGGGAGCTCACCCAGGTACGCGCGCCAGCACAATGTGGCGCAATCACCACGTCCATCCATGGAGAAGGAAGTTTCCTGGGAGGAGCATCGTTATATGTGCCACCGGAATTACACTAAGTGGACAAAATAAATGTCTGATGGGTGTTTGGGGTCATTTTTAGGCCAAATGACTCCAAATAAAATCCTAGCATGAACCTTTGTGAATTTCATGAGGATCTGCATACTTGAAACCATACGCTTCTGGTTGAAATTCCGCGGAATAAGGCATTTCACTGGGTTCTGAAAAGACGAATCTGTGAGATCATGTTGTACATACAAATGGTGCATACAGTCTAAAAGTACTTGAAAAAATAAAGCATATTCATGCTTTTGTCTACCGAGATTGAAGGGGTTTTGAGCTCGCAATGCTGAATGTAAAATAACCATTTTGAGCATTTTTGACCAAAAATGGCCAACTTGGATGACCATTGTGAGTTCAGAAGTGGACGGATTCCAATGAACCAAAGCATGAATATGCTTTATTTTTACAAGTACTTTTAGACTGTATGCACCATTTTTACATACAACATGATCTCACAGATTCGTCTTTCAGAAACCAGTGAAATGCCTTATTCCGCGAAATTTCAACCAGAAGCGTATGGTTTCAAGTATGCAGATCCTCATTAAATTCAAAAAGATTCATGCTAGGATTTTATTTGGAGTCATTTGGCCTAAAAATGACCCCAAACACCCATCGGACATTTATTTTGTCCACTTAGTGTACACCACTCAATTGTTGCGGGCACGCTCCCCCCGTTCCGCCAAGGCAATTATGCAAGATGTGTACTATGTGTTCGAACCTCCGGAGAATGAGGACGCGACTTGATAAATTATGCCACACGGTCCTGGAATATACTCGTGCATCTGGAATATATGCGCACACTGTCGAGACGCCCAAAATCTCGAACCTAGTGATGGAAGATCGCCCAGGAGACACGATTTGGCGAAGGAAGTTGAAACATTCGAATTCCCGTGCAAACGTGGGAGGAGCATAATTAATCTATTATACAAAGGAGAGTGGGTCATGTGATCTTTGTCAAAGACAGATGCTGAGACAAACATCGGACAAATATGGACAGACTTTGGGATCGGCACTCCCTCTGGCCTCCCTCAGCCTCATTGGCATCCTCGGCTCCTTTCAATGTACATATGGAATCCCATGCCTTCTTCTTTCTGTGTCTTTGATCACTACTTGACACCTGCACCAGCCCATCAAAGAACCCCCATGTGTCCTGAATGTGTCTTTCAAGCCGATCCAAGGCCATTCATGCTCTCCTACAAGTGCAGCGAGTATGGGCCTATGTGCTGTTCTGTTTCAGATCTTTCTGGCCACTTTAGCCCTTTGATCTCTTACGAGCGGCATCAGACCTTTCAAATTTGAGTCTTCGAATGTCGATGAATCTACTTATACAAAGGACAAGGATTACATAAGGACTTCTACCGGCCAATCAGATTTATCTGTGGGCTTTGACCATGCACAGACAAACAAAGACTGTGTCTCCTCGACACTAAATCACATCTTTCTCGCCTGTCGACACACTCTCTTGCATGCTTTTTTGTGTATTTCGACTTCCATGACAGCGGACACCAGTTTATACGACCCGACATCCCTGATCCCCTGAGAAACGAGACCTCAGCGGCAGCCTACATCTTGCCTATATCATTGCCACGCGGCCCACACGCCGTGCGCACTTGCCTGCGCTTGGCCTATTTTCTCCGAGTCTATGCATGTACTTTTAGATAGCCAGAGTTAGTGAAATCTAAATGAAATCTTTCCTGCCTGCTTGCAATGAACGAACTTGAATTCAATATTTTCCGGCCCTCGGGTGTACGGGGGACTTCTTTGGGACTTCCAATATTTAAGATAGCACAAGTTCAGGGGGATCTCAATTGTTCAGACTCCACGAGTGCGGGGGACTTCAGTCTTCCCGAAAAATTTCAGTGGTCAAATTCTCAGGGAGCACGAGTGCAGAGGAACTCAGTTCACCAGCGTACGAGTGCAGGGATCTCTATAATCTTTCAGCTAATACCACGAGTGCAGGGAGAGCCCAAGCTTTCGGGTACTACGAGTGCATTTCAAAGAAAACGAGTTCAGAGGAACTCAATCTTTTGAGCCCGCACCGGCACACGACGAGCTGAGTGCAGGGATCATTTAATCTTTGAGCTAATACCACAAGTGCAGGGAGACCTCAAGCTTTCAGGTCTGTATTACTAGTGCAGGGAGGCTTTCTTTCGGGTACTTACCCGCCACGAGTGCAGGGAGACTTCGATCTTTTGGGTACTATGAGTTCGGGGAGCCTTGCATTTTTTTTGGGTACTATGAGTTTGGGGAGACTTCGGTTTTCCGCTGCAGATATCTACAGGTAGCACAAGTGTTCTCCAGAGCATAGGGCTTGAAAACACGCATTTTCTGCGTCCTCCTGCCGACCGCGAATTCTTAATCACCGACGGCCGTGCGTAGCACGGGTAGCACGGGTTCATGCTAGTATTACAGTCCTCAACCGTGAAGCGAAACGGCACGTGGAAGCGAAACATTGTGCTGTTCACCACTTAAAGGTTCCCAGCGAGCGCATATTTTTGTGACATTGCTCTCTTCCCTCTGAAACTCCAATTCACAAAAGGGTTTGTGAAAAGAGCTGCTGTAGCGCCTGATCCTTTCAAGTTTCTTTCCGAATCTTTCCGCTGTCATTTTCCCTGATTTCAATCCGCACAACAAACACACACTCAATGCACCACTTTAAGGTAGCTCGACATATACTGGGGGTTCTCGAGGCTGTAGATTATGAATATGGAAATTCTGCATGTCAAATGTGTATGAATCAGCTTGATTCTTGTGTTTCTTGGTGTTTCGCTTCCACATTATTTGCGCAAATTTGGGCTTCCGGGAAGATTCCATCCGTTCTCCACCACAACAGTGCCGATTCTCATAAGGCCTTTTACTATTGGGTCGCCAGGAAGCTACCGCACAGGTCTACCACACAGGTTATATTCATTGGATAAATATTGGGGCCGCAATAGCCGACGCCGCCAGAGCGTTTTGCTTCACGGTTAAAGACTGTATATGTGCGGCCAAGTGTCCATGTCTGATGTCCGTGTTCGCATTAGGAATCGTCCGACGGCTGGCCAAAGATAAACTGTCGACGATCGATCCATATCCATGAGCACAGTGGAACAAACCTGGCAGTAACTCTTGCCCGCCGGGTCATGGACGGCCCACAGGTCACAGAGGCACTTATTTTGGGTTCTTCATAGCATGTCTGGAATATAATAAAATAAAATGAACCCGGGGGGATGTGACACACCCTTGAGGCTTAATAAGAGCACCTTTGTAAACGAGGAGCCCTGCGCACTGTTTGTAGCACTCCTTCATGAGTTCGTTCGGGATGAGTGATTGCAGGTCAGGGTGCTCGTCCCTGGGCACGACGCGCATTAACAGCTGCAAACTCGGTACTCACTGCATTTAGCACTGTCGTAGATCAGTTGTTGTCTAGTTGTGCCGAGTTGCCGGCTAGGTCCGTTGAGGTGTGGCTATGTGTTAGCACAGCCCAGTGACGGTCGCCTAGACACAGCCCGGTCTATTTTTGTCCAGGCCTGTGACGCCCAACTAGACTGGGCTGGTGGAGGTGGCTAGGGCCGCTACGACCACCTCGACGCCTTCATGCGAGGCCATCTCATCCCTTGCTCTTTTTAGTTACTTGCACTCATCTCAACCCAAATAAGTTGAGACCTAAGCGTCCTGTCTC